AGATTTGCAAAAAAAATGTTAGAAAAATACATAATTTTTTCTTAAAACTATTAAGCAATTTTCCTTTTCTAACCATATAATCAGTTTCGTTCAATTTTTATCTCTAATTTCTTATATAGAAAAAGAGAATCATTAAACACAAAACACTGGCATAATTATATCACTAACTAAAAGTTACAAAATTCTTCTAACTATTGTTATCCGGTACTAATCAAACTTCTATATCAACATAGTTTCAAAATCATAATTTCTCCAACATACAAATCAAAACTTTCAGTTTAATAAAATCAAAACAAGTTCAATTGGTGCATATAACAACAAAAATCTTTATTTTTCTTTCGGCTTAATAGTAAATACTGAGCAAAGTACATTAGCCGCCACCTATGAACAATAATGACTTATGAGTTATGAGACAGATAAAAAAGAGCTATAAATGATCGTAAAAAGCTTACTGCAAACTAAAAAGGTCAAAAGGAAAAAAGTAAAAATAAAAATAAATTCAGTCTATACTAAAAAACCCTAACTGTCTCATCTTTAATTGACACTCAATATCCACTTTTTAGTTCATATATAAAAAAAAAAAAAAAATTCCAATATAAAGGAGTCATTAAACTATCTCTACGTAGGTCAGAAAATTCCAGGCAATACAAGGCTTTGCAACAAGTGACAGAGTCTGAGACACCAAAGTTAGCTATCTTTGGATCCTATATGTGCTTTAGTGCTTTGCATGTTTATTTAATGTATTTAACATTTATGGTCACAACAAAATGTTTAATCAGGAACTTATAGTGATGAGTAGTGTTTAGTTTTATGATTTAGAACCGTAAAGATAGGTTAATACTTTTATATAACACGATTAATCGCGCTTAAGGATGTTTTCTTTTGGTAGCCGACAAATTTCAGTTGCTCGTTTATGGTATTTTTGTTTTATCATCTACAACAACTCACATTCGCATACCATTAAATTTATAATACAACGACAACACTAATTACAGACTACTGTATGTTACATGTTTTAATAATTTCAATTCGTTTCTTTCGGTTAACAAAATTACAAAACTTTATAGAATTTATGTAAATATTTGGACCTATCCGTTATCCAAAACATTTGTTCTATTATATTTTGACTATTCAATGAGAAGGTATTTTATATTGTGTATTTTAGATGTTGTAGATATTTGAGAAGGTATTTTATATTATGTATTTTAGATGTTGTAGATATTTGAGTGTTTGCATTTTTAAGATTTTAAGACAAGATCTTTTGATTACTTTACTGTACAGTATATATCTTCTATGGTTTCAATATCAGTTAGATACATCGCATAGAGTATCAACCTGAATTATCAAATATCAATTCATTTGATGCATGTTACTCAATTAGCCTAGTTGATAATGTTGGACGTGTTTTGATACATTATGGGCCATGGTTATGGACTTATTAATTGTATCAAATTATGTGATTAAGGTGAATGAGAAATGTGTGGTTTAAGGTTCGAATTGATTGGTTGTGGTTTGGTCGGATTGGTTAGTTTTGGTTTAGCGATTGGATGAGATTGACATCAAGTCAAAATTTTCTTCCCTAAATCTCGCCAACTCCTCAACGCTTCCACTTCCCACTCTCGTCAAAGATCTTCTTCAACAATGAGAGAGATTTGTGGGATTGAGAACTGACTTCTCCTTTATTTAATGAGCATTTATCACGTCACTTTGAGATAGTTGACATACACACAAAACCAACACATC